AATAATAATAATAATAATAATAATAATAATAATAATAATAATAATCTATACTTTTCTCACTCCTTTAAAAATAAACCAACTTTACACTGAAAAATATTAAACACTCTAGTACATTTTCTTATTTGTCTCAGGGGAATTATGAAATCTTAAAACCATCAACATTTACTCGCATACAAAGATTTAATGGTATTAAATTGGCTGTGACAAAGCTACTGTACGTGAAGAGCAGTTTGACAGGACTCTAATTAGGGAGAGCTCAAGTTCTCACTCAGAGTCTTTAAAGAAGTACTATACCCTGTAGTACATCCAATATAAAAGGTGCCCTTTTTAAGCTCTGGCTCGATAGTTTGTATTACAAATTTGAAGGTCACACCTCTGTCACCTCGCTGTGAGGGAGCTCGAGGCAACCGTAGCGGTTTGAATTCAAACTTTAAATTTCTTCTGTTCTCTTGACAGACCTTAAGACTGCAGCCAGTCTCTGTGCTCTCCTGGTATGAATTAGGAATTAGGAGCCTTAAATCAGTTCCAAACAACTTCATAGTGTAGCCGACATGCTAGCGGCCACTACAATTGAATGATTTATGATAGATGGATTTTAATAAAACAGTTGAGGATGACAAAAGCAGGTGTTGGTAGTGAGGCATAACTGAACCTTTCACCTACTGGACTTTTACCGAGTGCTATTTATATATCTGTTTAGCACACTTGTGTTCCAGCTTAACCCCTTTTTCACAGTAATGAGTATAATCAAAAACATCCATATCCATTTAAACCTTCTTTAAGTTTTATTGGCTTTATATGAGCTTTGAAATCAGCTCTTGAAACTGAGGGTCCTCTTATTTTATAATCCAGCTTGTATTGTGAGGTGATCCTACTCCATAAGCTACCCTTATTGAACCTAAACTCCATTCTACATAACCCACTCAGTGTGTTAAAGGGGCAGTTATCTTGTTATGCCTAACAATCCTTGGTCGCTCAATACAAATTTGACTGACTGCAGCACATTGTGTTGGCACTATGGTCACAAAATGAGAGCAAAACAGACAGTGGTGAGGACATTTTTGAATCTAAGGGGGTGACATACTCAGGGAAGAAGAAAGGGTCAAACCATTTCACATGACTCCAAAAAGAAACAAACCACACATCACATATTAGCTACAGTACAGCTACTGTATAACACTCCCACACAAAGGAAGCACCTACCTGTGTTAGAAATCTGTCAGATGCATTATTATGTTTTGCCAAGACAAGAGGGGGGACAGGACTGGTGTACTCAAACTGAGGGTTGTATGTGAAGTCTGAGTTGAAGAATTTCACCTTTTCCTTTTCCACATTCGAAGGTTTGATGGCAGTCAGGATACAGAGCTTCCTGAAAGTGTTCTCCCCATCTCTCATGGAGCCTTTAGGCAGGAGAGGGAGTTTTGTCTTTGGCAGACTGGAGAAACACATTCTCCTTGTCCTGCCCCTGGGTCTCGGAGACAAGCCCATAGAGCTCCCCGTGACAGTGATAGCATGATTGATTTTTGTGCTGCTGGAGAAACAGCCTCCCCTAAAGACCACAGACTGCTTGGTGTCCCCAGACCACTCTGGGGCCACCAGTGGCAATGGATCAATGCCCTTGTGCTGTTCTTTACTGTATACTGTGGACGAGCATCTCACAGACTTCTTCAGCTTTTTATGACGAGTGGAAAAAGGCTGTACTGGTCGTTTCTTCCCTTCTTCATGTTGCAGCAGGACATTATAACTGCTGCTTCCAGTGGTGAAAATATCTTTGAGGATGCTGGAGGAAAGTTTCTGAAGGCCCACTTGACTCAAACTAACGGGTTTGTCCATAGGACTTAATAAATACTTCTTAGAGAGCTCCAGCTCTGGCCAGTGAAGCCGTTCTGTAACAATAACACAAGAGAAATATGGGGAACACAGGCAGAATTAATTGTAATGTAGTATCAACTGGGGTATGTCAAGTTTAAGGCATTTATTATTATAACTATTGTTTTGACATGCAGACAAATCATGTGTAAATACTTCCAGATTACGGGTTTTTACAGGTCATGTTAAATTGTCATTCGGACAAAAAGTCCTTTCAGAATGATTAGCACCAAAATGAAACTATGATGAATTTGAAACAACAATTACAATATAATGTGGCTGCTACTCTTTTGCTCAATTCCGCATGGATTAAAAGAGTGCCTTAGCTACCACTCACAACTGCAGTAAAAGAATTAAATGCATCATTAAACTTGTTTTGCTTCAAGTTTACTTTAGAGAGCGGCATTGATTCTCCAATCTATAATGACATTCAATCTCTTTTGCGGTTATACTTAATTTTTTTTCTCTCTAAATGCCACAGGCATTTGTTTGTGACTTTCTCGTGAAAACAAAATCTGTAGGATCATTTCGTCATTACTGGACTAACAATGTCAAAAACAAGGAGCACACATATTTTGAATGGGCATTGTTGCCAGTGGTAAACCAATCCCAAATGTATTTTTTGAAGTAAATGATCCAAAACTGTATGAAAGCTGAAGGCATTTTTTAAATTGTCTCAAGTTACTTGATACATCTTAGATAAGAAATAGTCATAATTTGTCCTCACTATCCTGCACTTAATGCAATAGTGTCAATAGCAATTATTAAGATAATGCAATGTTCAATTAACCAAACTGAAATATTCTAAATATAATATGCAATTACAATAACGAATATTTTGATATAAACATAATGTGAATGTAGAACTGGGTGTGGTATATTATGAACGTACTGCATATTCTAAAGCGGACTGACAGCAAATCTGATTAAATGTTTTTTTTTTTAAAGTTTAAAGTGGTGGACACTAACTCCATATTGAAATATTTTAGCCTGACATAACATTGAATTAGAGTCTCTTGCATTCTCATTTACAAAGTAAGCTTTGTTGAATCAGATATGGCCATAAAAATGTATACAGTACTTTACATGCACATTTACAGTAAATACACATTTATACAGTATTTGTGTCAGTGTGATGAAGCTAGCAAACCAGGGTTTGTATTAGAATCACTATTCTTTCTAATTTCTAGAAATAATCTATTTAACTAGTCGAATTAGGAGAATATAGGAGGATCAGAACCCACAAGGGAAATTCAAAAAGCAAAAATAAATATGGCAACACTGAGTCTGAATAAGCTTCTTCTGAAAAATTGAACTATGCACTTGTAAAACCTCGTTTACAATACCACTTGCAGTTTTGGTCACCACATTACAAAAAAAAGATACTCTTGCTCTGAATTGCAGTGCAGCGGAGAGCTGCCACATTTGGTCTCAAAGGAACAGTTCACTCTGTCAAGCTAACTGAATCTTTTTAGTCTCAAACAGTGCTGACTACAGTACGAGGTGACCTGATTCCAGCCTTCAAACATCTCAAAGGCGCTGACAAAGTCACTACGAAGGACTTTTTCAGAACCAGCCATGAAACAAGAACCGGAGGACAGAAATGTAAACTAAAGAAAAACATTTAAAAATTGAAAGACCAAAAAACAAGTAGAGGAATGCTCATGGTCTCTGTGAGATTCTCAAAACGCTACCCTGTTGTGCTGTCAAAGTCAATATCTGGGTTTCTTTCCAGAAATGGAAGGCTGGATTAAATCCTGCAGATAACCAAACCAAACATGCTATATGGGCCAAACAGCTTCCTCTTATTTATGGAGTTTTTAATGAAAGTTCGGGAGGAATGAAGGCAGCCGAGCTCATTCAATACAGCTGCTGCAAATCCCACTAATTCTGACGTAAGCAACCGGTCTCCATATATACCAAACATCACCCTCTCCTCTTCCTCGTTCGTTTTCTGCATCCCTCCTCCACTTCCTCTCCACCTTTGCAGCTGCCCAATTGGTCACATGGGGGTCCTATCCTCCTCGTCTAACGGTCGGGAGGTCAGCCCTCAGCCAAGCGGGTTACGCCCAATCTCCACATCCCAATAAACGATTCTAATTTCTCCCAAACTTTCGGCTGCTGTCATTCCTCGTGAAATAACCTTTCTTATGAACTTACATAGTGCCTAGCAAAAGTATTCAGACACCTGCTCAGATTAAAACTGGGACAGAAATGTATCTTTCATCAGGACAATGTTTCAAAGCCCCAAGTCCAAACTACATTGGGAGCTGAAGCCTATATCAGCAAGCAGTGGGTGCAAGGCAGAATACACTCTGGACAGGATGCCAGGGCAAACACACAGACACGGACATGAACACACTCAAACCAGGGGCAATTGTCACAGAAACCAGTTAACCTACCAGTATGTCTTTGGACTGTGGGAGATAAAACATACTAAGCAAAACACTGAGCGGTTAATAACCTGTTTGTAAAAACTGTTGTGCTTATAAAATGATACATGTGTCGTATGAGGCTGACAACAACATATAGTGACAGACGTCTCTTAGATTGCTAAGAGAAGCTGTGAAAGCAAAGGAAGAATCAAAAAGAAGACCAATATATACTGCATATACTGTACATCTATTCTTTAGGATGAGTCTTTGTAAAGATTTAATCGTATGTGTATCCAAATAGTATATACATACAGTATTTGCATACATTGATCACATATTTGATTACCAGCTTCCTCTGTATACAGTAGCTATACTGTACTGTATAATCATGAGGCATCTTTAGGCTAGAAAGGCTTTAATTCTTGAGCCTCTGAAGTTTTATAAGGTGGGACTTATTTATACTGTCACTGAAAAAAATAGGTAAGCACATGGGTTAGGCTGGCTAGATTAAAAAACACATTTTTATGATTGGAAAAAAATCAAGTATACAGCTGCCTCTGTCATCAGCGATTTACGATCCTGCATTCATGCAATTAAATAAGCCGCAATAATGCAACAAAATAAATACATATTAATACGATATTAGAAAATCCATAACAATTGTCAAAATGATGCGCTGTAACAAACTAATATACTGTATAGAAGCCCATGCACTTTCGAATTTTTTCTAGGAAGCAGACATTAATTTTACTTACAGGAAATACAGTAGATGCACTGTTTTACAGCTCGTCGGACTTTTAATACACCCCTATTTATTTGGAATAATCACAAGTTTTATTTCCTAAGAAATAACGCAAATTCGGTACGTACCAGTTACTTTTATTGATTCAAGCATTGGAAACCGAAAGAAAAAACAATCTTCTTAACAGCAGCAAAGACGATTCGTCCGTTGTTGTACTTAAATGGGATAGAACGAGAAGATGCGATATTTAAACAAAAAAATGTAAACAATAAAGAATATCAATATACGATTTTGAAGGTAACTGAGGTCTAGTTTCACCGAATATGGATTTCATAGGAGCGACATTAAGGACATTAAGACAGCATGGCAATGAGAACAGTCAACGCTGCACCGGCTGGCTCTGTTGTGAGAGGAAGGCAGCGCACCGGGCGAGAGAGCACCCAGGCTGTTGCCATGACACCTGCATTACATCACAATAGCTACTTTCCTACTGGCTTGTTATAT